CAGGTTTGGTTTTGTGAGATTTCTGGAGGTGAAAGACAAGAAAGAGCTAGAAAGAAAACTGGACCAGATCTGGATAGAGAATCGCAAATTATGGGTGAATACCCCAAGGTATGATGAGGCACAGAAGGACACAAGGGTGCAGGAAAATAAGCGCCATCCGGAATCAAAAATTCAGAGAAGGAGCTATGTTGAGGTGGTGAGAGGCCAACAAGCAAACAGACAGAATGAGGAAGGAACAACCCAGCTTATAGAAAACCAAACTGAAAGGCACAGGCAGAGCAGAAGTAAATCTAGAGCCGGAAAGCTGAGCAACAATGGCAGACAAGTATGGCAGGAAAAAGGAAAAAGTGACAGGTGGGTTGGATTCGAGTACAATGTCAAAGCAGAAGAATACACATGGCTGGACGGGTGTTATGTAGGAAAGGTCCATAATGTGGAAATGGTCCGCAATCTTCAGGAAAAATTCTACATGGAAGGGTATTTTTCTTGTCGAATTCGTGCTATGGGAGGAAAATTAGTGCTGTTAGATGGTGATGACAAAGATGAAGTAAAAGCTCTAGTGGAGATGGCATCCGAATGGTTAGGAAGATGGTTTGAAGAGGTTCGACCATGGTCTCCAGAAATGGTCGCTGATGAAAGATTTGTATGGATTAGATGTCAAGGAGTTCCTTTAAATGCTTGGGGGCCAGAGTTTTTTGCATCCATGGGAGCCTCATGGGGCAAATTTATTTGCCTTGATGATAGTACAAGCCAGAAGAGGAGGTTCGACATCGCCAGATTCTTAATTTCAACTCCGAGTATGAACACCATTTCAGTTAGAAGACAAATCAAAATCAATGGGTCTTTCTACAATGTCAAGTTCACGGAGGAGGAGTTCACCAATAGTTTTTTCTCCTTGAAGCAAGATTTCATGCCCACCTTCCAAAGTGAATCTGAAGACTATGAATCATGGTCGCTGGGTAGTGAAAATGAGGGATTTGATTTTGGAAATATGGCAGAGATGGAGCAGGAAAAAGAAAGAACAGAGGAGGCGGAGAAAGAAGATGATGAGGTGGCACACAGTAAAAAAAAAAAAAAAGAAGATTAATGAAAATGGCAGTTTGCACGATGACCAAGGGGAAGAGGTGACAATTGAAGCAGTGGCGGACAGCCTGGAGCAGGTTCAAATTTTGAATTATGGAAAAACCAAAGCAGCAGGGGAACTAAGGTCGCAGCAGGTGGTGAATGACGAAAATTCAGCAAGGCCGGGTGAAATGGAAAAGAGTAATTTGGGTCAAATGAAAATTTTGAATAGGAGTCATAAGAGGAAGCCTAATCCACAAGGAGCCAGCCCAAGTAATGTGGAGTCCACCAATGTGGGCTTGGGCCATAAAACTTTAAACCCAAGCCTATTACTGGATAAAGAAATGGAGGAGTCTAGAATTGGTGAGGCTGAATCGGCAACAGACAAAAAGCTGGGAGGAGAGCTGAAATGGAAGCAAAGTCAAAGCGCAGAAGAACAGAGGAGCGAAGGTGTCTTGTTTCGACCGGATCTGGAAAGTGACGAAGTGCAAAGACAAGAGGGAGTCCAAGGTCGGAGGGGTTTCGAGCATGCAGAGGTATATAGCCAAGAAGAGAACTGGTTTCGGGAAGAAGCTGAGGGCAAAGAAGAACAGAGGAGAGAAGGAGATCTGATTCGGTCTGCTCTTGTAAGTGACGAACAGCAGAGACATGAGGGTGACCATTTTCGGAGGGGTCTCGAGCATGCAGAAGAACGGAATCAGGATGGGGATGGTTTCGGGGAAGAGGATGACGGTGATGATGAGCAGAGGCAAGAAGGAGATCTGACTTGTAAAGGCTGCGAGTGTGAGGGAAAAGAGAGGCAAAACCGAAAGTTGAGGCAGATGAAGGGAACTCAACAGAAAAGGAGGAAGAAAATCATACTCTGTAGTTCGGTTTACCAAAGGGAAGAAGCTGCTGGGGAAAGAAAGCAAAGATTGAATGGTCATAGGAGAAAAATCAAGAAATCTATGGAGGAGAAGCAGATGCTGGAGTTTCTAAGGAGCCCAGAAGGTGAAGTAGCGGATATCTCCATCGGTGATAGTGGAATTCAAAACTGCAACAGGATGCTGAAAAAACAACTTCAAAATCAGTTAGCTAAAGAAATATGGCAGTTAGCTAAACAACTGGGGGCCACAGCAGATAACGATGATGTGATTTTGGAAAAAATTGAAGAAATGGAATGTAGAGACAGACAAGCAGAGGATGTGAAGAGGAAACGGGAAGAAGATAATGCACAGAAGGTAAGCAATGCCCTTAATGATATTGTTATCCTTTAACATCAGAGGACTAGGTGGGGTGGGTAAAAAAAGAAAAATAAGGGAGCTGGTTATGAAGGAGAGAGTGGATTTTTTAGCAATACAAGAGACTAAAATGGAGGGTATTGATAGGAGTACATGTAGGAGAATTTGGGTTACTGATGACTTTGATTGGATTTTTAAACCTTCTGTGGGTATGTCCGGAGGCCTTTTGTGCATTTGGAATGTTAATGTGTTCTAAAAAAAGGAGCTGATTGAGGGGAATAATTTCATTGGGGTGTGTGGTACTTGGGGAGAGGATCAGACGCTAGTGTATGTGCTCAATGTTTATTCTTCATGTCTTTTGATGGGAAAAAGAACTTTATGGGAGGATCTACTGAATTTGATGAATCGAAGAAGAGGAAAGTGGTGTATAGGGGGTGATTTCAATGCTATAAGAAAGGTAGGGGAAAGGGAGGGGTGTAGGAGTCTAACTACGGAAATGAGGGAGTTTGATAGTTTTATTCAAAATGCTGGACTAGTTGATTTATCTTTGGTGGGCAGAAAATATACCTGGTACAGCTCTAACAGCCAGTGCATGAGTAGGCTTGATAGGTTTTTGCTCTCAGAAGAATGGCTTACAACATGGGGGGATGTAAAACAGTGGGGTTTGGAAAGATCAGTGTCAGATCATTGCCCTATACTCCTAAAGAATGAAAGGGTTGATTGGGGTCCAAAACCTTTCAAATTTTTTGATGCTTGGCTAGAGCAACCCGAGTGCATGGAGGTGATTAAAAAGGCATGGAATTCCACAGCACCCAAAGGCTGGAAGGGTTTCAAGTTAAAGGAGAAATTGAAAAGAGCCAAAAATGCTTTGAAGGAATGGAGTGGCAAATACATGGCTGATACTGATTGTAAAATAAAGGAAGCAGAAAGGGTAATAGCTATAGTGGATGAGAAAGGGGAAGATGGCACTCTCACGGCAGAAGACATTGAAATTAGGAAAGGCTGTTTCATAGAGCTTTGGAGGAATTTAAGAATTAAGGAGAGCATGTGGCAGCAAAAAGCAAGGAAGATGTGGCTGAAAGAGGGGGATGCAAACACAAAATTTTTTCATAGTTGTGTGAAGGGCAGATGGAGACGAAACGAAATTATCAGCATCCAAATTAATAATAAGCAGCTCAGGGGAGTGGCTGAGATAAGAGAAGAGGTGGCGAGCTACTTTCAAGGTTTATTCACGGAAGAAAAGTGGCAGAGACCAAGGCTAGATGGCATTAATTTTAATCAACTTTCCCAGACGGACAGTGAGTCTCTTACGGCTGTTTTCTTTGAAGAAGAAATCAAAAATGCAGTTTGGGATTGTGATTCATCAAAATCCCCGGGCCCAGACGGGTTTAACTTCAGATTCATAAAGGTTATGTGGGAGGACATAAAACATGATATTATCAGTTTTGCTCAGGAATTCCACGAGAGCGGGAAGCTGGTGAGAGGATCAAACGCCTCATTCATAGTGTTAATCCCGAAAGTAGAAAACCCCCAAAGAATTGAGGAGTATAGACCCATCTCACTCATTGGGGTGATGTACAAGATCATTGCAAAGCTGCTAGCTAATCGCCTCAGAAAAGTACTGGATAAGGTCATCGGGGAGCAACAGATGGCATTCATAGGAGGAAGACAGCTGATGGATAGCGTTGTAATTGCCAATGAGGTGATTGATGAGGCAAAGAGGAAGAACACAAAGAGCTTTATATTCAAAGTCGACTTTGAAAAAGCCTACGACAAGGTCAGCTGGGATTTCATTGAGTACATGTTCGGGAGGATGGGGTTTCCAATCAAATGGAGAAAATGGATAAGGGAATGCTTGCAATCGAGCATGATTTCAATTCTTCTCAATGGAAGCCCAACAAGAGAATTCCAAGTCAGCAAAGGAATAAGACAAGGTGACCCACTATCCCCTTTCTTATTCCTAATAGTGGCGGAGGGGCTGAATGGTTTAGTGTAGTCTGCAGTGGTGAAGGAGTTGTATAAAGGAGTGAAGATAGGCAACGGTAGTGTGATGGTTTCTCATCTTCAATATGCTGACGATACAATATTTTTTGGTGAGGCAATAGAAGAAAATATTCTTGCTATCAAATGCATCATGAGGACTTTCAAACTAGTCTCGGGGCTGAAAATTAACTATGGAAAAAGTCAGCTAATGGGGGTCGGGATTGAGGACAGTTGGAAGAGGAAGATGGCCTACCGATTATGTTGCAAAGAGGGGGAATTTCCGTTCAAGTACTTGGGAATTCCAATCGGAGGGAATCATAGGAAGCTAGCAATGTGGCAACCGTTGGTGGATTCTTTTAAAAAGAAACTTGCAAGTTGGAAAGGAAGACACTTATCTTTCGGAGGTCGGATCACGCTCATAAACTCTGTGTTATCCAGTCTACCTGTGTTCATGATGTCAGCCTATCAAATACCTAAAGGTATACTCTATACCCTTGATAAAATTCGTAGATGTTTTTTTTGGGGAGGGGGAGAAGAGTTAAAAAAAACCAATTGGGTTAAATGGGAGAGGGTTTGTAAACAAAAGAAGTATGGAGGACTAGGAGTGAGGGACTTGAGGATATTTAATTTGGCGTTGATGGGAAAATGGTGGGGAAGGCTTGCAAATATAGAAAAGGGTTTGTGGAAGAGTGTCGTGAAAGGGAAATATGGACAAAATGGGGGGCACTGGCTGGATTGGGTGCGAGATGGCAGAAATGTAGGATCTCTATGGTGGAAAGATGTACGAAATCTCAATGTGGGGGATGGGGCAAAAGGGGGGTGGTTGTCATCGGGTTTTAGAATGAAGATAGGAGAAGGGAAAGATGGGAGTTTTTGGTGGGATGAGTGGTGTGGGGAGGTTTGCTTGGCTAACAAATTTCCTAGATTATATCTCTTATCAACAGGAAAGGAAAACAAATGCCACCAAATGGGCCAAAACGTCAACGGCACATGGAAATGGAACCTTGCATGGAGAAGAACTTTGTTCGAGTGGGAAGAGGAGGACGCAAAGGAACTTAAAAGGATGATTGAGAATGTGACGATCACACCTGGCCAACCGGACAAATGGGAATGGATTCATAGCAACGATGGTCAATACTCAACAAAAACAGCTTACTTGGAGTTAGTAAAACAAAGAAGAGAACCGGAGGAAGCTGAAATTTTCAAAAGAATATGGAGCAAGATGCTCCCAAGTAAAGTTGCAGCTTTCAACTGGAAAGTAATGCTGGACAGAATTCCAACCAAGACAAACTTGCTCAAAAGAGGAATTGTCAAAGATACAGGAGAAAGAAAGTGTGTTCTGTGTGACAATGAGGATGAGGACTCTAACCATCTGTTCTTGAATTGCAGTATTGCTAGAAGGTTGTGGCAAGCATGTGCAAATTGGTGGGGGATCA